TAACCACTACGCTACCAGAGCTCCTTTAAATTAATTTAATTTTAAATGTATTTAGTTTAAATATTTTTAATTTTAAGTAATTAAGATGCAAGTTTGTTTGCTGTTATTCTCTTACCTGAGTAAAACTATTCTACTTGGAAATAAAGAATTTACTTGTAATTAGCCTTTCAGACTTCTGTAGCTTGTGATGAACATTCTTATAAAATTGTTATCTGCAGCTGTCAATGTATCTTCGAAACACACTGGAAGTATTAAGTACTTATTAGGTATTAAATAAGTTGTTAGATCAAAATGTATCATTTTGAGTTTACTCCATTTACATGTATATATTTAAATTATATAAGTAATTTATATCCATTGAAGAAAAAGTACATCATGAAGTTATGTAACACCATCACCTAGAGATAATTGCTATTAAACTTTGTTGACAATCTCTGTACATTCTTAAAGAGATCTAGAGTGCTCATGCATTTTTATTGCAAAATATCACTTTATCCAGGTAGGAAAGCTTATATCTTTCAGTTTTGAAGCTGAATAAAATGACTGTCTTTTAACAGAATGCCCTGCCCTGTCAATGTGATGAAATATTTTAAACTAAATAATACTGGAGAGCTTCTTTTGAAAAGGGGCAGTTGGTAGATGGGTATGGGGAAAAGTAGCAGCCATTAGAAGACAAGGAAACAATTGTCTTTTCTATCCCTGTGTAGTTAGCAGAACAGACTAGACCTTTGTAAGCAACTTCATGTTGATGAATTAGACATATCTTTCTGAATATCTTGATAATGTGTACTTCCTTAGACTTTTTCTCTAGAATGTCAAGGTGATAGATTCTCATCATGGGCCCAGAGCTTAAAGACTTTGCGTGATTTTGTTTTGCATTTTCATGGAACATTTGTCATGGAGAATCTCTTTTTGAGAGATTGGTTTAATCACATTTAAGAAATTTGAAATATGTCATTTTCCAGACTTTATAGAGATATGTGTATAATGACACTTTGTTGTTAAATGCTGTCTAGTCAGTTCTGACTCATCTCAACCCTGTATAGGATTTCCGAGGAGTGGCTGGTGGGTTTGAACCACCAACCTTGCAGTTCACACTGACCTTGCTTATCCTACTGTGCTACACCAAGACTCCAAAGCCTCACCTTTCTCCCGAGGAGTGGCTGGTGGATTCGAATTGCTGACCTTGCAGTTAGCAGCCCAATGTGTAACCCACTAAGCTACCAGGGCTCCATAACTCCACTGTTGTTAAGTGCCATCAAGACAGTTCAGACCCATAGTGACCCTATATAGGATTTCCGAGGAGAAACTGCTGGTAAGTTTGAACAACTGACCTTGTAGTTCAAACTGACCTTGCGGTCGGGTGCTTATCCTGCAGTGCCACACCAAGACTCCATAATTCTACTTGTTGGGTGAAAATGTTTGGAACATTGATAGAATTTTTGTAATTGTGATTTTCTCTGATTGTTAAACCGATCCATTTTTTAGTTCTTTTATCCTTAACTCGCTCCTCTAGAATTCCTAGAGGACCTGTACAGCAGCCTCTGGAGGATCGAATCTTCACTCCCACCGTCTCGGCAGTATACAGCACGGTGAGTATCTCAAGGTTCTTTGTGATGTTATGTATTTGCTTTTGCACATAAGCTCTTAGAGGCAGTGTTTGACTGTCATGTGACATAGACCCTCCCCCTCCATCATCTTAATCTCCTTGGAGAGGTCATTATGTTTGACTAGACTGTCCTGCCCACTCAGCTTGTTTTCCTCTTTTCATAAAGATTAACCTCCTGCGTAGTGTTAGGATTCTTTTAGACACTGAGTTCTATTTATTTATTTATTTTTAGTTTTAATACATCTTTTACTATATTCACCATATACCTTTTTACTCTTCTCTGCTTTGAAATGTATCAGTCACATTCAGTAGACATTTTTAAAATGTGATCTATCATCCAGGTTCTGTGAGAGATGTCTGTTACCTTTGATTATGTAACACTTTGCCCAAAGGTGGTCCAGATGACCAACTGTGGCATGTTTGGGTTATGACACCTCACTTCTCATGTGGACACTCCACATGTTCCTCCCTCCCTTCAGGTGGCACATCTGACAACTTCTGTCTCTCATCTAGGACAGACATCTTCTTCCATTATATAAACACTGCCTAGTCCCTGGGTGACACAAGTAGTTAAGTGCTTGGTTCAAATCTACCCAGAGCTAAGCTTTATTTTTGCTTAGAATTTTTTCTTTAAGGTTTTGGGTTTTTTTAAATACTTTTTTCTCCCTGATTACATGCTCCCTTAGAAAATGTAGAAAGTTTAGAAAAGAGAACATTGTTTTTAAATAGGAGATTTTATTGTTGATATTAAATGATTAATTCAAATTCAAAAGTGAAAGAAAATGAAAAAGAGGATGATGGTAGTGATTTTATAAGCAAATGATATAAAGCTCAGTATTACAGTGAGCCTTGGGAATTTAGGGAGTTGGGGTTCAAACATATACTTAAAAATTTTTTTTATTGTGAATTGAGGGAAAGTTTACAAAGAAGATCATAAGTTTTACATTCATTAAATCATTCACTTTGTTTTTTCTCAATGATTGCAATCCCTCCTACGTAACTACAGTTTTCCCTCTTCCTCCCTGTGGTTCCTCTTTTCATTCCACCCTCCTTTCCATTCCTTCTTAAATGTGTCCTTAGGAAAATGTTGCGCTTTTGAGCTTGAATGATTGACCATTCCATGATGGATATACCTTACTAGCGTTGTTTTCCTTCTTACATACTTTTCTATTGCTTGTCTGAAAATTGGGCCACAAGCGTGAGTTCCATTCCAGACCTGAAGGGTGATCGAAGGCCGTAGTTTCAGGTTCCTCCAGTCTCTTTCTGACCAGTAAGCCTGAACTTTTATTATAATTTTGAGTTTTGTTCCACATTTTCTCCCTCTCTATCCTGGAAGTTCTAATGTGATAGTGATAGCCGGACACCATCTAGTTTTTCTGATCTGAGAGTTGTGGTGATTGATGGTCATGTGTTCCTTTGGTCCATTGGACTAATTGATTCCAAAAATTTGCATCATTCTGCACACGGAGAGACCAAAAGTTGCACCTTACATGGCCGCTCATGGCGCTGTGGGTTAATGCGCTGGACTGCAAGGTCTTTTTCTTTTTTTAATTGTTTTTATGATTATCGAGTTTATTAGGGAAGTGGACAGGAACAATTCAGGATCAGAAACAGCTCAGGATGCAGCATTTCTCTGAGCGGGAACGTCCCTTCTCAGTCGTACTGCAGACATGCCTTGCTCTTGTCTTCAGTCTCTGAACCATGTATCCTTTCAGCCTCTGACCTGCTTTGGCAAGAATAATAAAGTTCCTTTACCTAGTCTGTAAATGCAGAAGCGTGCATTCTACAAATCAGCCTCCTGCCCATAGATACCTAGCTTTATTTAGTACATGTTCCAGGAATCCCATAGCTGTTCTTGTTTCTCCATACCACTATCTCTGCTGGCTGCCACCATTTCTCAGTATGAGGATCTCAAATTCTGCTCATGGGTCCCCTTTCTTGATGATCTTGGGATGCTCTGTTTTGTTTCTGAGATGGTTCCTTTTTTTTTTTTTTTTTTTAAGTTTTTATTGTGTATTATGTGGGTTTACATGGGAGAACATCAGTTTTACATTCATCCTATCTTATTTCATTTCATTGCAATGATTACAGTCCCCTCCATGCATCATCAAACAACCAAAGGGTACACTCCGCAAGCCTGCCCCCCCGGCCGTCAGCACACAGCCCCTCTCCCTCCCTGAGTCCAGTGTCCCCTGCTGCTCCATCTTGGACTGCAACGTCTTTTGAACCGTAAGATTGGCAATTCAAGCTCACCAGCTGCTCTTCAGAAACCCTACACAGGGTCGCTGTGAGTTGGAACAACTCGACAGCACTTAAGAAGAGCAACAACTCACTGAAGTTAGATGTAGAACATTGTCTTTGAGGACTATGCTATGCCATTTGACCTTAGTGTCCCCTGAGACTATGGTCCTGAGCCCCCAGGCATAGCACCATAAGATATTTAATAAAATCTTAAATGTTTTCATCATCACACCCCATATATGCTCCACCACATTCATAGGTGTGCTTGCAGCAGAAGTCAATCCCCATGTACAAATATCTTTTTTTCAAACGCTTAGTATTTGTGGGAATAATCTCCCTCACATAGCTATTCAACTTGTGCATATGTCCATGTATCTACCAATAGAACAATGTTGTTCCAGGGTTGCATATGTAACAGTATTTACCTCTATCCCATTTAGCCTTGCATACATCCCTGTGTCTTCATCATTTTGCCAACCTCCCTCTTCTTATATATTGCCCTGCCCATCACCTGAGTTAACATTGTCTAGCCAGTGAATTATTCGCCCTTCCCTCCACCTCTTATAACCATCAAAGAATGTTTCTTTTTGTATGAAAACTTTTTCTAGAATTTTTACAGTAGTGGTCTCATACAGTCAAATGTATCTTTTTGATACATTTCTGAAACATTTCATTTCAACATACCATAGAATCCCTAGGGCTCTAGACAGCATGCTTTAAAAGAACTGTCTCGTGAGGGAGATGAGCAAATAAATAACTGTAATATAAGGTGATATGATAAGCAGTGGTTCTTATTATTTTGGGTCATGAATTACTTTAGAATCGCAAAACAACTGTGTGCTTCTCCTCAAAAAAGGCACCAAGGTTTTGCATATAATTTTAGTCTCACAGATACCCGTCCATAGGCCCAGTTTAAGAACCTTTGATTAGGGAATGTGTTGCTATTTGGGAAAGGAAGAATCAGAGACATCATGATGGAATGGCCAGTAGTTACAATTTGTAAGCAGAAGTAGAGAGAACAGCTATGTGGGTTTTGGAGGCATGAAGGTAGCCTTAAAGAGTCAGAACTGTGTCATGCAGGTAAAGTATGTAATGATCATTTATCCTGGCTTACCTGAGACAAGTCTCAATTTTCATCTGTTTTATAGAACATTTGTTGTTTTTAGGTGTCATCACGTTGGTTCTGACTCATAGTGACTGTATACAGCCTGCTCCGGTGCCATCCTCACAATCTGTGTTAAGCTTGAGCCCATTGCTGCTGCCACTGTGCCACTTCATCTTGTTTGGGGGCTTCTTCTTTTTCTCTGACCTTCTGCTTTACCAAGCATGATATCCTTCTCCGGGTACTGGTCTCTTCTGATAATACATCCGAAGTATGAGAGATGCAATCTTACCAGCCTGCTTATAAAGAGCATTCTGGTGACATGTCTTCTAGCACAAATTAGTTTGTTTTGATAGTAGTCTATGGTACTTTTCATATTCTTCTCCAGCACTGTAATTCAAATGAATCAATTCTCCTTACTTTCACATGCATACGAGGCTATCAAACATGCCATCAGATATAGCTTACTTCTCAAACTGCTATCTTTGCTCCTGAACACTTTAAAGAGGTCTTGAGTAGCAGGTTTGCTTAATGCAATGTGTTGTTTGATTTCTTGACTGCTGTTTCCATGAGTGTTGATAGTGAATCCAAGCAAAATGAAGTCTTTGACAACTTCAATGTTTTCTCTGTTTGTCATGATGTTATTTACTGGTCCATTGTGAGGATTTTTGTTTTCTTTATATTGAGGTTCAACTCATACTACTTTAAGTCCTCTTCTCTTTCAGCAAGCAAGGTTGTTAACAAGTCTTTCTGCAATCCTGATGCCTTTTTTTTTTTTTTTTATGTAATCCAGGTTTTCAGATTATGTGCTCAGCGTACAGATTGAATAAGTATAATGAAAGAATACAACCCTGGCACACACCTTTCCTAACTTTAACCTCATTCAGTGGTCCCTTGTTCTGTTTGAACAATTGCCTATTGGATTCCTCATGAGCACAATTAAGTGTTTCTGAATATTCATTCTCTGCACTGTTGTCCATAGCTTGCTATGATCCACACAGCCAAAAGGCTGCATATTTGATACAGCACAGGTAAACATCTTTCTGGTATTACCTGCTTTCAACCAAGATCTATCTTACCTTCAGCATTGGTATCCCTTATTGTACATCCTCATCTGAATCCAGCTTGACCTTTTGGCAGTTCCCCATCAGTGTACTGTTGCAGCCATTTTTGAATTATCTTTAGCAAGATTTTACTTGCATGTAATATTAATGATATTTTCTGATGATTTCTACATTCCATTGGTTCACCTCTCTTTGGAATGGACACAAATATGGATCTCTTCCAATCAATTGGTCAGGTAGCTGTCTTCCAAATTTCTTGGCATAGATGAGTGAGTGCCTCCAATGCTATATCAGTTTGTTGAAAGATTACAATTTGTATTCCATCAATTCCTGGAGGCTTGTTCTATGTCAATGCCTTTGGTACACCTTTAATCCACAATCAACACTTAGGTAAGGAAACAGCAGTTAAGAAATCAAACAAAGTATTACATTAGGCAAATCTGTTGTACAAAGCTTCTATAAAGTGTTCAAAAGCAAAGATGTCAGTTTTACAACTAAGGTGTGCCAGACCAAGCCATGGTATTTTTTATTCCCTCATGTGCTGTAAAAGTTGCACAATGAATAATGCATTTGAAT